ATTCAACTTACCATCCGAGGAAATAGAATTAACACAACAGTATGGCTGTGAATGATCTATAAAGAATGGACAAATCGATTGATTAATTGTTATTGATAGTTTAATGTTAATGCCATGCAATGCAATGCAATTAATGCAATATTGCTTATTTGCACACTTTATTATTTAAAATAAATACATATATTTATTACGAATGTATTGATATGACGTTCTTTAGGCCTAGTCCGGGACCTAAAATTGCCTAAAATCGCCTAAAATCGCAGTAAATCGCCCAAAATCGCAGTAAATCGCCCAAAATCGCAGTAGATCGCCTTAGATTTTTAGATGGGTTTTTTGGTGATTTTTGCTTAAATCGACTAAAATCGCCTATAATCGCCCAAAATTACGGCTAGGCTAGTCCGGTACCTAACATCGCCTAAAATCGACCAAAATCACCTAAAATCGCCCAAAATCGCAGAAAATCGGCTTAGATTTAGATGGGTATTTGGTGATTTTTGCTTAAAATCGCCTAAAATCGCTTAAAATCGCCTAAAATCGCTTAAAATCGCCTACAATCGCCCAAAATTACGGCGATTTTAAGTCCCAGACTAGGCCTTTCTTTGGAGAAAAGAAAATAGTATTGTGAGGGTGCTGGTAACTTGAGTAGTATATGCTGCACAGAAAAAACTGCGAGATTAAATCAAGGAATGGTAGGTTAGTAAAGAAAAGCTGCTTAAATTAACTACCCACAGTTCGACTTACTGTAACTAATGATTTTTTGACAGTCTCCTTCGTTTAATTTGATATCATCAACAGCTATATCGCCATCATCTCCTCCCAGAGTCTCTGCCTCAATGACAAACTGAAGAAATAGAATTAAATGTCTTTCATGCACGAATATRAAACTGTCAACTTCTTAACTTCCAAATTTGTTAAAGCAGTGATCTTTAGATGGTGTACACAATAAGAGTATATCTTGGTGCTTCTTCATGATTTTCATAGTCAACCACTCAATAATAAATAAATCTTTTGATCTGACTAGAACTTTCTATGAGCTAGAATCACGTGTTCTATGTTGGTTTGGATGCAAAATGTCAAAACCATTTTCCTAACCTTGTAACGATTGTGACCATCGGGTTTTATTGGTGTTTGTCCAAATTTCCATTCATCCGTTTGGTTACCATAGTTATGCCAAAGTACAGTCTCTGATTGGTTGGTTTTCATTAATATCCTTAATGAGCCGATATCTTTACCCAACATATGATACCAAAATTGTAAACACAGGGTTTCCTCAGCACTTATCCAGTCGCTAGTGAGTCTTGCTTTATCTCCTTTATTGCCTTTCGATGCATCGATGTGAATATATTCATCTATCGAAAGAAAAAAAATTGTATCTCATATACTTCATACTCTAGCTCGAAGGATATGAAGAARCTTGAAAGATGGAGACACATCGAAAAGACATGTTTCCCAGATCTCATTGTTTTCCTGGAGGTTTTATTCTTGTATACGGCCAATTTGAAAATACAATGACTTSAGAAGGATGCCTAATATTTCGTATGTAGAGCAAGGAGAGTGTCTCTGTAGAACTCTTGGCTAACATTCTCGCATCATCTGAAAGGAATGGTTTCCTTCAATGTTCCCTGCGCCATCCTGAATGGTAGCCATGCACCTTTGCATCGAAGCAAATGACAATTGAGCGGGCAATGATAGATACCTGTGAATAATTGTCTTAGTTACATGTAGTTAGGTGAAACAGAAGGTCTATCGCTGAATGGTCAAAGGTCGTCTTGCTCTAATGCGGCACGTCTACCATGGACGTCGCATGGAACCATGAAGCATTTTCGGTTTAAATGATCAACAGTTGGTGTTGAGTTGCATTAGATTGGTCAAAGTCGTATTTAAATTMAAACTTAAACTAAATCGAGTGAGTTATCCTACCAGTCTCGCTGAAATGAGTGTGATCGAAGTCTGGTCCAGTTCCATCGGAGCTTGTTTTTCCATAGTTTATTACCCAGTTTAGTTCTAATTCCTTGCTTTGCTCTAAGCCACAAAATCCATGTTGAAATGAGCATAATGCTGAAGATTTATATTGAATAGAAATAGTTAAATTGGCTGCTGCTATCAAACTCTTTTAATATATGTGGTACTAACAATAGTCTCGGCAATCCTTTTCTCTAGCAGCTTCACTTTCATTGAGAGCACATCTCACATCATTTAAAGGACAATCTCCTTCATGAAAAAAAATCCATATAAGTCACGATTAGGTTATTAAAGTGTTGGKTAATTTATCTTTTTACCCAACTGTTATAAAAGTGTGTTGTGCATGGTTCAGACGATCCACAATTGAATACCTACCACATATAGATGGACTGTCGGTAAAGTCAGGGCAGAAGCTTTCATTTTTACAAGTATTTGACCAATCAATGCAGCTTCCACTAACACATTGGAACTTTCCATTGCATGATTGGTCTATGAAATGCAAAAAAATGAWTATGGAATAAGATATATTGGATTGCAGATGATATCGGCGATTATACATCGTATATGTATCATTTAAACTTTATCCCGTTCATTGTCGAAAACAAAATGGAAACTGAATGTTTTTGTACTGTAAACAAAGTAARCGACTTTTTGGACTTCTGATCAGTTACTAAACTGACCATGGATAAGAGAAGAAAAACGTATTAGCTACAAGTGCACGTCTCGAATGATTGAATCAATCTCTCMTCAGCAGCTCAAGAAACTTCTATTTGTTGATAAAGCGTGTATAATGTGCAAATTCAATTTTTTTGAAAATTATCAGTTTTGTAAAAAYTTATGCTTCGCAATTCCTTCAAAGAACTTACCACAGTTTTTTTCATCAAATCCATCTTTGCAGTTTCCTTTTCGATCGCATAAATCCTCAGCGACAATACATTCTTTGCTAGAGCACTGGAATTTGTTACTCTGACAGACACATCCCATTTCATCCGATTCATCGACGCAATCCGGATCACCATCACACCGCTTTCTTTTTWCGAGACACTCTTTATTGTTACATTGAAAGTATCCACCCTTGCATTGAAAACCTTCAGAAATTTTATAAGAGAATAGGAGCAAGTTACCACAAATTATGATAAAAAAATAACTTCATAAGATAAAAAAAAGTCAGTACCATGTACATCGAAARTATTAAAATTTTCACTGGGCTTTTCAAAATTACAAAATACAGTCAACTCTCGCTATTACGGACACCCTCGGGACCGTAATTTAGTGTCCGCAGTAGCGAGAGTCCGTAGTAACGGGAGTTACTTTCAGTCTTTCTTTGTATTTTTGGCCGGGGGTCCAGTATCTCGTGTCCGTAATAACTCGTGTCCGAAATACCAGGGTGTCCRTTAGCCGAGAGTTGACCGTAWACAGAAAAATCTCACATAGTTGGCAAAAATATGCCAAAACGTATGTTCATATCTTTGAATGATTTTACAACTTAAAAATTTGCTAACATACTTTCTATTTTTGAAATATTTTTTCTTGTATCTTGAACAATATTGTCTCCCATTTATTAATAGAAATATGACATACCTGGTTTAGCAACGTCTGGAAACACGGCACAGCGTTCTGTCTGTATTCTAACATTTACAAGCGCACTGATATTTCTATGCATGTCACTTTTTCCAGAAAATTGGATCTAAAAAGCGTAAATAACTTATTCTTCAATTATTGAATCATAGATGATTGGCTTATTCTTACTGAATTCTAGTACAGGAGGCCAATAGCCCCTTCCTAAGGTAGGGAACAATAAGAAAAAATAATAATCCATTTGCACACAGATCACTGGAATTTTGAGAATAGTCAATTATAGACAACTAGAAATCAATATTTCTCCGGCCAGACTTTTGATACAAAACCATTYCTTACTCTCTGTCCTTTGATCGCATCAAGTGGTATAGAAGCTCTTTTCCATTCAGTTCCATGGTATCCAGTTATATTCCAAAGAACTTCCAAAGAATTACCCTCTATCAACTTTGAAACAGCAAGCCAACTGTTGGAGGTCTTGGAATTCATCAAATAAGAAAATTTCAGGCATAAACCAATTATCGAGTATAAGTTTTTCCATGGCAACACATCGGTTTCAAAAGTGGATGAAAATACGGTATCGATCATTGTGAAGTCGACGCCATCTGTTAAAATATCATATGGAGAAGATTATTAATTCATTCGATATACGTGATTTATGACTGGTATTTTGGGGTTAATGGACATTTATGTTTAGTACTGGGTGGAAACTAAAATACATGCAACGCATGTATCATTGAATGTTTACCTTTGAATTTGTGATGATTGTCTACAAAATGTAGTCAAACACAAAAGAATCAAGATGAGCCAGCGCAGGGCACAAAGCTCAGTCAATGGTGAAGAAACTATATTGTTTTTTTTCAGGAATGTTTAGCCTTAATGCACCTCGTCGTAATTTTTATATACTGATGTTCTTGACTAATGAGACAAAATTCGCGGTTTTTCTATATTGCAATTGCAGCAATAACTGAGAAACTTACGAAATTAATATTTCAAATATATATGAWTGACTTTCGAACTATGTCTCTGACCTTGTTTGTTTTTGTTCCAGTAATTATTTTTCTTTTTGACTTTCATCCAGCTACATACGCCTTCTTTAAAAGTGCATTCTCTTAAAACTTCACCTAAAGGAAAATAGTAAAGGTATGCGTTAATGATATATATCTCCATTCTTATTCATCATTTTTATCATACATGCAGCTTGTAAAACGCCCATTATATCAGGGGCGGATCTAGCATTTTTGCAGACTAGTTTCCAACTCGAAAAATGTTGTATTGWCATATGCTAATTAATCAAAACATGAATATTCATTACGACGGTCCAAATAATTTAACTGCCTGCAAAATGATGCGATTCTAATAAAMTGATTTAAAAAGCTGATTCAGCCAATTTTTAAACATAACCTACCTTAAGTTACACAGAGACGACAATGCCCGGTAGATTACACTAGCGACCTGCAGTAGCTACCGAATTCCAGGAATTGTATTTCGAGTTTACTGTAAATTATCAATTCTTAACTGTGTATATAATGTGTAACTTATTTGGTTGAAGTGTTTTCATTGTTTTGAATGACCTTGCCATTAATTTCAATACATACCAAGCACGGAGAATGTTCACATGAAGTCAAATCAGTCGGCGATTCCAATGTATGGGAACTTTTCTTGAACGGTTTCACGAGTGGCTTGACCACATTCCGACACAAAAATAACAGATTCAAACAGTTTTGGAAGCAATTGTGGCCTCAATCCTTTTTCGATTTGCTTAGAATTGTTATAGGTAATTATTTCAAACAATTTCCCTCAAAATCCGTTGCTAACTGAATGACACAAAGTTTGCCAAAGATACTGACATAAAACCTTACCAGGGTAGGTTAGTTACTGGATTCGACTGGTTTCTGACTAGTTTCTGGTAAGGTCCTACTCCTCCCTTGTACAAATCAAAGCTCGATTCTGATTGGCTAACATCAGTATTCAGGATTCCTGTGTGAACAGCTTTGATCGCGGAAACTAGTCGGGATACCTTTGTGAATCACTGATGACGTCAAAAGAAACCAGTTCACTCACCTCGCGATAGTCCGCTGTCAGACAGACACACAGATTCTGGGCTCAAGATTGCCTTTCTTTGGCARAAAKTTTCGATGGGTCCCCTCCCACAAGACAAAAATAGCTAATATTCCAGTTATTAAATGTGGGTTTCCTGTGGTAAGATTCTCAAAATGGCGGCTAGAACGATCGTTTTGCAAGCTAAACGGTAAAATACTCTCTAATTCTTTGCCGTTTGTRTAATTTTATTTGAAATGTCAACTATTTTTATTATATCTTTTGCGAAAATATCACTAGTTTCCGGAAACTAGGTGAACCAGTCTAAATCCGCCCCTGTATATAATGATTTACTACACTTACGTTGGACGTGCATTGCTCCAACGGAGTTAGAGATTTTCAATTTGGAAGGCCATTCATATGAAATCTAAAGAGAATCGATAGGCATAATTATCTTCCAAAAATAACATCTAACTAAACTATCATCGAACATTC